ATACAATAGTGAACTAATGGGCCCTCTATATTTGGTTTGATTAATAAATTTTCCATTCTCATCAGCATCTAGATAGCAATTTGTGGACGCAGGAGTGGACGCTTCCTTGCAGCTTTTCATGTCAAACTTTTTGAGTAATTCTGCACAATATTTTGATTGATGTAGAAAGCTTCCCCCCTTTAATTGTTTGACTTGTTGTCCTAGAAAGTAATTGAGTTCTCCCATCATTGACACTCAAACTCCCCCTACATTTCTTTCACAAAATTTTTACACAAAGTATCATTAGTAGCCCTAAAGATAATATCATCAACAAAAACTTGTACCAAAATTATATTAGTTTTTTATTTCTTAAGGAATAGTGTTTGTTAACTTCACCTCTTTGATAGTTTTGAGAAATGAAAAAATTAGTTAATCTTTCATATCATTGTCTTGGTGTTTGTTTCAAATCATATAAAGCTTTCTTGAGTTTGAACACATGTTCTAGACATTTGTGATCCTCAAATCTAGGTGGTTGAGAGACATACACTTTGATGTAAAAAAAAAAGTAAGGTGCAAAATTTTAAGAAGATAAGGTGCATAATTTTAAGCAATAAAGTAAGCAAACCCAAGAAAAATTCCCACTGGACATTAAGATAGTTACCTATCTAGATGTGAAGGTTCATTTTCAAGGATTGTGGAGGAAAGAGAAGATGGAATGAAACTAGAAAATAATAAAGATAAGGGCTGGAAAAATGGACTAGTCCCTTGGATAAATAAATGGAGTGAAGAAATAAAGAAGAAAAGATGAAAAGAAGAGAAGTTTGGTGGTGGCAGAGTGTTGACACGCCACTAGGGGATGAGCCACCCTAGATAAGTGGTGGTTGCCACCACTTGAACCAAGGTTCAAGATAAGATACTCAAAGAGATGGAACACTCTAAAAAACCTCACAAACTTGTCATAAATGTTCAACCTAATTACATGAGGGGAAGCTTTTTATTTATAGGCTTTTGGGGGAAGGGTTCTAGATGAAATTACAAAAGGAGATATAAAATTAACATAAACCTAAAGGCTAGAGTCCCCATGGTCCAAATATGTTAAATTCGTCCTAGCCCACTAAAAATACCTCTAAGGGTGTGGAGAACATGAAAAAAGAGGTGTGCTTCCTTTTGGGTTGTTCCAAGCCTATCAATCCCGCATCCCAAGCTTTTTCCTCTTGAAAAAAGGGTGTAGGACATGAAAAATGGGTGTCTTACACTTTTGGGCAGCCCATCCTATATGTCCAAGTCTTCTTTTTTACCAAAAAAAGGTGGAGGTATTAAAAAAGGAGATGCATAAAGTGGTCATACAAATAAAGTGCGAAAATGAGTCTCTAAAATTTAATAAAAATTTCTAAGAACAATTTTAAATGGAGGGTGAGAAGGAGACCTACCTTTTAGTCATGTTCTAGTGATCCTCCTAGGGATGACATCTCCCATCTCTGGGGCAACTAAGGACTCATCACACTTCCTCATGTAGATAACCATTCAAGAAGGCACTCTTGACATTCATATGATATAACCTAAAATCCTTCATAGAAGCATAAGCAAGCAATAGTTTAACAAATTCTAATCTAGCAACAGGTGCATATGTTTCATCAAAATCTATTCCTTCTTGTTGATTATATCCTTAAGCTACTAACCTAGCTTTGTTTCGAGTGATGATACCATGTTCATCAAATTTATTTCTAAAAACCCATTTTGTTCCAACAATGGTAGCATCAACAGGTTTAGGAACTAGCTCCCTCACACTACTTCTAGTGAACTGATTTAGCTCCTCATACATTGTATTTACCCATTTATTATCATTTAATGCTTCAGTTATTGTTTTAGGTTCAATTTGGGAGACAAAAGTCATATGATTACACCATTGATTCAAGGAGCGCCTATTGGAAACTCCCTGGTTGATTTGACCAATGATGTTGTCAATTCAGAGGTTTTTTGAATTGTTCATTTCCTTAGGCAATTGTTCTTCTGGTCTATCTTCATATTCTTTAGAATTCTTAGGTGTTCTTTGAATAGAGGCTGACTGTGGTAGTTTTAATTGATATAACTTATTAGTTAATATTTCTTCATCTACACTCCTGTTGTATTTTTCTGTACATCTGAACATGTTTCATTAAAAACAACATGCATAAATTCTTCCACACTTTTAAGCCTTTTGTTATAGATCTTATATGCATGACAGTTTGTAGAGTAACCCAAGAAAATCCTTTCATCCGATTTTGAGTAAAACTTTCCTAGATTTTTTTTTGCCATTGTTCAAAACAAAAACCTTGCACCTAAACACTCTAAAATAGTTTATGTTTGACTTTTTGCCTTTGTACAATTCATAGGGAGTCTTTTTTAAGAAAATATCTAATTAAAACATAATCCAACACATGACATGTTATGCTAACTGTATCAGCCCAAAAATAGTTTGGTAAAGTTTTTTCATTCAACATGGTCCTAGCAAGCTCCTCAAGAGACTTTTTTTTTCCTTTCAGCAACATCATTCTATTGATGACTTCTAGGTGCAGAAAAGTTGTTTTTAATGCCATGTTTTTCATAAAACCTTTCAAAATTTTCATTTGAAAATTCTACCCCATGATCACTTTGAATGCAAGATATGAAATAACCTTTTTCATTTTGAATTAATTTGGCAAGCTTTTTGAAAGTAGAGAAAGTATCAAATTTCATTTTCAAAAATAGTATTAAGGTAAATCTAAAAATCTATCTACAACAACCAATGCATCGAGATTTCCATACAAACTCATAGTTCTTGAAGGTCCAAAGAGATCCATGTGAAAAAGTTCAAGTGATCTAGAAGTAGAAACAATATTTTTCTATGAAAAAGAATTTTTTGTTTGTTTTCCCTTTTAACATGCATAACAATCATTGTCCTTCACGAATTTGAGTTTAGGCGCAATTAATCAATTAAGATGATGCATATGAATATGACAAGCCTTCTATGCCAAAGCCAAGTATCATTCTCTCTAGCAATAAGAAAACAACTTTTTGCAAAATTGATGTCCAACATATAGATGTTATTTAACCTATTACATGTGCCCATTACCTGATCTAAACTTGGGTTATGAATCAAACAATGTTCAGGTTCAAAAGTAACTTGTGACCTTTATCACAAAGCTGATTAATGTTGATCAAGTTGTGCTTAAGCCCCTCAACAAGTAACACATTATGAATGACTACAAATTCAACACACTTGATGTCACCTAATCCAAGCTTCTATTGTTGTCACCATGCAATCAAATTTTTAGCCAAGCACACACATAAAGAAGACTAAATGTTAAAACTAATTTGTCAAATTTTAATCATGCAACCAAGTATTATGACAATTTATAGAATTAAATCATATAAGTGCAGAATTTTTTTTAAGCAATAAGGTTTGGGCCAAGGTACTTTTTTGTAGATTTTTTTTTTCTAACTTGTTTCTAGACTTGCCAAAAGTTGATTAAAGTTGCTAGGAAAAATTTGATCACTTAGTCCATATGTTTAGGATCCTAAATCAATTCAACATGCATGGACTAAGCTAAGCAATTTCTAATACACATTCAAGTGTTGGAATTCAAGAGATGAAAACTTCAACAAAGCATATTAGACATATAATTTAAATCAAAAGCTAGGCACATTTAGAAAGACACCAAACTTAGAAGAATATGTAGCTTAATCAAGTGCAGAAAATTATTTTGGCTAGACATTTTATCAAACATCATACAAGGCACAAAAATAAACTTAGGTTAGTGTAGTATTGGGCCAACCTCATGCCCAAACATTTGAGTGGACACTGCAAACCAAATGGGCATAAAAACCACAAAAACGCAAACTACACACAGAATGAAGTCAAAGTTACAACAAAAATATCTTACTAGTAACGACCTAAGCCCTGAATACCAAATGATATATAATAAATTTAGGTGCATAATTTTAAGAAGATAAAGTGTGGAGTTTAAGCAATAAAGTAAGCAAACCTAAGGAAAATTCCTATTAACACTAAGATAGTTGCCTATCTAAGTGTGAAGGTGCATTTTCAAAGATTGGGAAAGGAGGAGGAAATGAAAAAAAAAAAACTAGAAAAAAACAAAGACAAGGGATGGAAAAATGGACAAGCCCTTGGATACATAAATGGTGTGAAGAAATAAAGAAAAAAAAGATAAAGAAAAGAGAAATATGGTGATGGTGAAGTGTTGATACACCACTAGGGGATGAGTCACCCTAGATAAGTGGTGATTGTTGCCACTTGAATCAAGATTCAAGATAAGACACTAAAAGAGATGAGATACTTTAAGAAACCTCACACTTGTCATAAATGTTCAACTTATTACATAAGGGGAAGTATTCTATTTATAAGTTTTTAGGGAAGATACCTAGATAGAATTACAAAAAGGAGACATAAACTTAATCTAAACCTAAATGTTAAGAGTCCTCATAGTCCAATATGTTAAATTCGTTCTAGCCGACCAAAAATGTCTCTAAGGGTGTGGAGAACATGAAAAAAATGTGTGCTTCCTTTTGGGTTTTCCCAAGCTTACCAGTCGCGCATCCTAAGCTTTTTCCTCTCCAAAAAAAAAGGTGTATGACATAAAAAAAGAGGAGTGTCTTACACCTTTGATCAACCCATACAACTATCCTATATGTCAAAGCCTTCTTTTTCACTAAAAGAGTTGATGGTCTTCAAAAAGGAGGTGCATAACGTGGTCCTAAAAAAAAAAGTACAAAAATGAGTCTCTCTAAAATTTAAGAAATATAAAATGCTAAAAAAATTTAAGGTGGTCTGGCCATGCTCCTAATGATCTTCTTAATGATAACCTCTCTCGCCTTTAGGGTAACTAGGGATTCATCACTCCACCATCGTGTGTGCTCACCCAACACCAAAGTTGTTCATCCCACCTCAGCCACCTCTATTCCAGCCTCACCGATATCGATTTCCCACAACCGCCTTCCAACCTTCCCCTCATCTCATTCCCCAGCTTTTCCCCTAATTCTCACTATGCGAGCCACTGACGACCAACTCCCTTATCCATTACTTCCAAGTTAACACGCGATTCACGTGCCCTTCGTGCCATCAGATACGCAACCTTCGTGCAGCGAACCACCCCTATCGCAGTCACCGTTTCTCCTCGCCCATCTCACCTCATCGAAGCTGCACCACCAAGGCCACCTTGATCCCCACTATGAGCCACCCAAACCATGCTTTCCACCATATCAACCACAACGTGCATCATCAGCCACTGGCCAGGCCTCCACTCCCACAACCACCTCAATACTGGCTCCACAACTGTGAGTTACCCCAATCACCACACAATCAAAACCCATAATTGGTGTGATTTGAGTTCCTATCTCGCTCTGCATCTTATCTCTTCCACCACCGTGGGCCCCCATCAGTGCCACCGTAGGGTGCGTCCTTAACCCCGCCTCCAATCAATGTAGCACATCACTCCGAAGTCGCGCCTCCCAAAGTCATCCTCCCCACACTTCAACCTAGCCTTCACCTTAATCTAATTTGTTGATGGTGGTTGTGAACACGTTAGTTTGAGTCACAACTTAAGTTGGTGGTCGTGAACGTGCAGTGAGCAAAAAATGTTTTTATTGGTGTTTATGCATATGGTTTTGTTTGTTTGTTTACTGGGACTATTCTATTTTGATTGTTAGCATTTGTTGGGACTTTTCTCCCTGTCTTGATTTTGATTGCTTTCGTGTTTGTTTGTCCGGATCTAAACTGAATTTTGCTAATCTCATTTGTTGATGAGCTGGAGACTATTTTTTCATCTGGGCTATTATTGAGGATCGTGGGTCCATTTTTATGTTTTTCCTGTGTTGTTCTTATGTTGTTGTAACTTTGGATTGTGGAGAATCGTGAGTCTTGTTATGGATATGTCATTGTATTGCTGTTGAATATTCATTCAATACTTGATTTTGATGTGCTGGTGATTTTAGTCTAATAGTAACTTGTAGTGCTGGTTATCCACAATAAGTTGTGTCTTGTTGTGCTTATTCATGTTTGAGTTTAATTAGTTTATCCTTATTTTGTCTCTAATTGTAAATATTTTGAATTTTTATTCTAAATATGGTGTAATTATTGTTGGATGGTTAGGTCTCCTTGTAACTCAAAGGAGTGTTCGAGATTTGGGATGATTTCATTTGTTTTGTGTGATTAAGAGCGGAAGTTGTGAAAGTACTCTGGGGAAGATGGATGACAATGTGAAATATTTCCCTACATTCTGAAGGAGATAATTTTTGATGAAGATTCAAGTCAACACTACTCAAGACTCAAGAAAGTCCAGACGACTAGATAGAGTCTTAGAACACCTGGATATGGAGGTATAAGTTGATTAAGTAGTATTGTGCATAAGCCTCCAAAACACAAGTGTGAAAAAATTTTGTATAATAATATTTTTCACTATCATAATCGATAATGTGAGGTATGTCAGCAAATGAAACGATTGTTTTCAAAAGTTCTCTGTCATAATCGATTATATAAGTGTCATAATCGATTATATAAGTGTCATGATTGATTATGATGCATTAGAAATGAAAAATTTACTTTGCCTCTATCATAATCGATTATGAAAGTCACATAATCGATTATAACACTTCAGAATTGAAAAATATATCCGTTTTTGAAAGATAATAACTGTTGAAAACTTCCTAATTTTTCTCTACGAATTTATTACTCGAACAACGAATATTTTTTATTTTATTCTAACATATTCAATGTTATTTTCCTATATAAATGAAATTTGATGAAAAAAAAAGAACTTGAACACGGAACTTGAATACAAAATTTTGAATACACAATCAATTTTGAGAAAATCATTCTAAGCAAGGCAACAAAGACATTTTACACTTTTTTGAGAAATTCCTTTCTCTATTGCCTTCGGTGCCTTCACTATTAATCACACTTGTGCTTGAAGCTATCATTCTACAAGCTTCTACAATTTGTTGTCTCCATTATCAGGTGTGACTATTCTTGTTGAAATTCTTGTCATTTAAGGTTTCATTTGTGGGAACTGTTCATCCTTTGATTTGTTCAGAGGAGGTATTCATCTCAAGTGAGATTCTTGAGAGGTGTGTTTTCATCCTTTGATTTGTTCAGAGGAGGTGTTCATCTCAAGTGGGTTTCTTGAGAAGTGTGTTTTCATCCTTTGATTTGTTCAGAGGAGGTGTTCATCTCTAGTGGGATTCTAGAGAGGTGTTTATCTTTTAAATTAGTTTATTGTTTACTGATTCTTCTCAAAGTTGATTGTCATTTGTAAACTGAATTTTAAAGATAGTGAATTGGATTGTCTCTCTCGTAATAGAGGTGACAGGGAGTTGGATGTAGGGTTGAATTGAGCCGAACCAGTATAAATTACTGTGTGCTCTTATCTTTCCCTATATCTCTTTGATTATTTTATCGCTTCCGCTTTATCTATATTTAATTTGATAATTAAAATTGAATTAACAAATTATTGGACATCTTAAATAAATTTTTAATTTGTGCATCTATTCACCCCCTCTAGATGCCATTTGTCTAACAAGTGGTATCAGAGCTTGGTTAGATAAATTATTTCTAAACGATTTGTCAAGATGTCTATACAGAATCAGGTTTACAGGGAAGGAGCCTCAATAAATAGACCTCCACTATTTGAAGGTAAAGACTACCAATTTTGAAAGGCGAGGATAAAAATATTTTTACAAATATTGGATTATGGAGTTTGGGATGCTATACTCAACAGTCCCTACATTTCGATGACGGATGGAGATGGAGTTGTTCCAAAGTCCTTTGATAAATGGTCGTCGGATGAAAACAAGTGTGCCCAATATCATGTAAGAGCCCGAAATATTATTGTTTCTGCCCTAACTCGCAAAGAATTTTATAGGGTCTCATGATGCAAGACGATAAAAGAATGTGGGACACTCTTGAAATGACACATAAAGGAACAAATGAGTAAAGCGAGTACACAAGAACACACTCATCTAGGAATATGAATTGCTTCAAATGCAGCAGAATGAAAGCATCACGAATTTTCAGACACGCTTCACGCATATAGTATATCACTTGGAAACATTAGGAAAAAGTTTTGACAATGAGGAGTTGAATACACAATTTTTGAAGTCCTTAGATAGGAATTAACAACCAAAGGTCACTGCTATTACAGAATCAAAGAATCTCACTGAAATGGATCTTGTCACTCTATTTGGGAAGCTACAAGAGCATAAGATGGAACTACAAAGATTAAAGAATGGTGAACAAATCCAACCCAAGACGATTACTCTAAATGCAGTAAAAGCTTCACAAGATGAAAGTGAAAGTGAAGGTGAGTATTCTGATTCTGATATATCTCTTCTAGTTAAAAAGTTTTCTCGGTTTGTGAAGAACATGAAAAAGGGACAACAAAGAAAGGAGAAATCAAATAAGTACAAGTACTATGGATATGGAAAACCTGGTCACATCAAACTAGACTGTCCAGAATTTAAGAAAGATGTGAAAGAAAAGAAGAAAGATAAAAAGATCTTTAAGAGCAAACACAAAGCTTATATCTCTTGGGAGGACAATGACTCTTCCACTAAACAAGAGAGCTCTTTCGAAAGCAATGATGGAGAAGAAGAAACAAATCTTTGCTTGATGGCAAAAAGTGATGATGAAGCTTCATCACAAGTAAGTAGCATAAAGTCCTTAACTGCATATGATGAGTTGCATGAAGCATATCAAGAAATGTATGAAAATTTTGACAGTTTAACTAAGAAACATATTGCACTTAAACAAAAGTTTCATGCATTAGAAAGTACAGTTAACATTTTTGAAAAAGAAAATAAGTGCTTAAAGGAAGATATTGAGAAATTCAAAACTCTATCTAAAAATAAAGAAGTTGCTAATCCTTGTGAAAATTGCAATCATTTAGAAAATGAGATTTTCAAGTTAAAGAAAGTAATGAGTGATTTTTCCAAATCTTCTGCAAATTTTAATTCTATCTTAGGTTATCAAATAGGGGATTCTAGCAAAGCTGGACTTGGTTACAAACCCAAGGAAAGTCTAGAACCTCACAAAACTATTTTTGTGAAAGAGTCAAGAAAAACAGATGTAAAACCAGTTTCAAAAACTTTAAGAAAATTATTTAGACCTCTTCAAAGAAAACCAACATATTTTTATTGCATGAAATTAGGTCATACATCAAATAAATGTTACATAAAAAATTTTGGTATATCTAATGACAAATATGAATGGGTGCCTAAAAGGGAAAATAGAAATTGATCACTTGAGCGTCTAATAGATTATGAATTCTCGTAAATGTTTTTTTTTCTGTGATAATCGATTATATGAACACCATAATCGATTATGATTGGTCAAACTTGATTCATATGAGTTATCTTACTATCATAATAAATTATGATCTATCCATAATCGACTATAACAACAAACTTTTGAAAGTTTAAAAAGTTTTTTTTGTTACGGGAATTACATAATCCATTATATCATATTTCTTATCATTTATCCTTAGTTTTTTGGCTGAGACTTGTGTTTCTACTAACATTTAAGGACCCAAAAATAATTAGAGGGTACCTAAATTTGTATGTTGATGTTGCAGGTAATCATCAAGGATAAGAAATCAATTTGGTTTCTTGATAATGGATGCTCTAGACACATGACCAATGACAAGAATAAGTTTGAAAGCTTCACAAAGAAGAGTCAAGGACATTTGACATATGGTGATAACAATAATGGCAAAATTCTTGGATCAGGACAAATACACATAAGCAACAACTTCATGATTCAAGATGTGCTGCTTGTAGAAGGATTAAAACACAATCTCCTGAGCATCAGTCAACTATGTGATAAGGGATTGAAAGTAATCTTTGAGTCAACTACATGCAACATAGTGAAGGACAATACTCAAGAAACTGTTTTGAAAGGTATGCGTCTTAACAATATCTATGTAATTGATCTTGATATCATAATTCCTAGGTCAATCTCTTGTCTTGTTTCTATGAATAAAGATCCTATGGCACATGAGAGCTGCACACATTCACATGCATCATCTAAATAAATTGATTTCAAAAGATTTAGTGATTGACCTTCCTAAGTTAAATTTTAACAAAGATAAAATTTGTGTTGCATGCCAAAAAGGAAAGCAAACTAAAACCTCTTTTAAGAATAAAAATATTATCTCTACATCATAGCCTTTAGAACTATTGCACATGGACTTATTTGGACCCTTTAAGACAAGAAGCTTAGGTGGTAATTATTATGCACTAGTTATTGTAGATGATTATTCAAGGTTCACTTGGAATTTCTTTTTGGCAACTAAGAATCATGCTTTTAAGTCTTTTTAAGAAATTTGCTAAGGCTATTCAAAATGAGAAAGATTTGAAAATAAAATCAATCAGAAGTGATCATGGTG